TTAATTAATTAATTAATTAATTAATTAATTAATTAATTAATAAATAAGTAAATAGAGAGAGAGAGAAAGAAAGAAAGAAAGAAAGAAAGAAAGAAAGAAAGAAAGAAAGAAAGAAAGAAAGAAAGAAAGAAAGAAAGAAAGAAAGAAAGATTTTCTAGTTGATGTATGCCCTCAACGGTAATTATCGGAACGTTCGCAGGATAGTATGTAAAATTTCAGTCACACGCTTAATTATGAATTTGGTTAATTTGAAGTCATTACTGAAATCGAGCATAACGAAACACGTGATCATGATCGTTTTTTTTTCTTGACACTTTTATTAAATTTGACAATATGACACTGAAATCACACGAAATTAGTTTTATCGGAGAAAACGGCACAGTCTAGTCCTGTCCACGTTAATGAAATGCGCACATGAATGTCTACACGACTGATATGTAAAGGGTTTAACTTTGTGAACTTCACAAACTATTTTTTTTTAGAAATATAGCTTCCCTTATTCTTTTGGATGATTTGTTAAATAAGTGCTAAGAGTTCCAAATGGCCCGCCCCTAAGTCGTGACGTTGTCCCGATAGAAAACAGTTTTTGAAATGGCGAAATTACCAACAAATACACTACTTTCGCAGCGATACACAAAGGGGGAGTAAAGAAATGAGACAGATTACTGACATGTGACCTTAACTGCCGCTCCTTTATGAACCCTGGGTGTGCTCGATTCAGGAAGCCGGTGTATTGAAATGTGAGGGCGCGGTTCAGCTCGGGGTGATTATTTTATTGTTCATGAATACCACGTAAGTCGACGACTTGACCAGACAGGACTCCTGGTTTTAGATGATATTAATGACCGAATAGTGTTTATTTGACAACATCATTCGAAATGCCAGGTGAGTTTCTTGCTTTAATATCAAATTAAGTACGGCCTTGCAGACTCTGGTCCCCGTCGTCAAAGTTGTTGGTATTTCGTATTCATATGCCACCAACTCGATGTATTGCCGTAGTGTTTTATCACGGTCATGTTATACCTCGTCGAACGCGGGATCCCGACCCTCTTTAAACTCCGAAAACAAATGGATCAATTCTCTAGTAACTAACACGAAAAATGGTTCCCTCGCAAATATTTTCTCTTCTTGGCACGATGTCAAACCGATAAAACGCGGGGGTCATAAGAGGTGAAACAGGTTGTCTATCGTTGGTGTTGAAATAAACATTGAATAAAAGCGGCCATTAATTATGTAAACGGTACGCCCGAATGGCTGTTATATACAGACGAGGCTGGGCACCCATCGAGGACTGCACCGAGGTACCTTGATACGTCCACCGTATCATTACAAACAACCACTGTTAGTATAATTTAAACCGTACAATTAAATTAAATACATAATATCCTCAAAATGGGACATGGATATTTGACAAGTCACAAAATCATAACATTTTAATGATTTCTTTTTTTTTTTAAATCTGGCGATCATTAAATTTCGGATCTTCAAATAAATCGAGTAGCCCGAGACTAGTTTTCACGCAGAAACAGCCAATTCAGAATTATGCAACTAAACAGTATAAAACGTGATCAAAACTTGAAAGTGGCGTCAGTTTAACATCAAAGCTGAAGACACATATTCTTGTCACGAATCCACATAACCAAATTCAGAAATGTCTAGCTCTAATATTTTCATTAACCATCGTTTAATCATATTTTGTTGTGGCGCTAAAAACTCGACGCCCCGAGGCAACATCTAATACACTGGTCATGTTGACCCAGTATGCGATACCAGATCCATGAGAGAACTTCCCAAATATTTTGGTAAAGCATCTAATAAAATTCCGATCGAGCTGAGGTCATTCGCATTATTTTTATCACATCCACGTACCATTGTATTATATTTCCTTCCACACATCGTTATAAATAATTTAAAACCCACGTGCGCATACAGTAAGTATCACATCTGCGATCTGCCATATACCTTATGTTATGTTCTACGTATGGAATGTATACCGTGTAACTGTTTTGACGGTGAAAAGCGTCGTGCTTCACGCCAATTTCTTGCTCTCATAGGTTTATATCATTTGGGTTGTATACAGTGTGTGTTTATGATCCACGTGATGCTATAATCGTAATCGACATACTGGTCAGCACGTGTCATTACGTGCAGGTGTTCGCGTTGAGGATGCTTCAGCATAATAACCACATTCGCATATCGCTTAGATATTCAAATGATACTGGCTTAAAACCCGTAGCTATCTCCATGTCGAGTTGTATTGCAGCATTTTAAAGCGGGGGAGTCATTACCTGCGCATGCGTTGTTTACAAAACAAGCGTCTACCCATGAGCCTTTGCGTTTTTAGCGTGCATTGTTATTGTCGCTTGGGACTCAATTCCCGCGCGTGCGCAGGTGAAGACCCCTCCGCTTTATGTTGTGAATAGCGAAAGACCGACTTTCCCAGGAACAGTCATCAGCAATATCAATTAATTTAGCATAGTCATAACAAAGACCGCCAATTGTCCAAGAAATATTATATTATTACATTGTCAGAGTGCGTAAAACTATATTCGAATCACACTTTTTAACGAACCCTGTATATGATTTGTCTTTTTCATCAATTGTTCAAATAGATACTAAGTTTGGAGAAGTAACTTTAGATGCACACAACCGGTATCGAAAACAGCATGGGGTGCAGGAACTGAACTGGTCGGACGATCTAGCGTCTGTAGCACAACGATGGGCAGACGGTATATCAGAGCGAGGCTACCTCCAGAATAGTGATAATGCAGGTTATTAAAACGTTGAGGGAACTATATTAAAAAGTGAAATACGAGGATGCGGCCATTTGTGTCGATGCGGCCACGCAATATCCTATTCTATCTTATGTCCTATCATAAAACGAACTTTTACTCAAATCCACGATCATCAAATAAAATGGAACGTGGGACATGGCTTCAGTCGGCTAGTTTGTCGGACCGGTATTTAATTTGACAACAATTTCAATACCTATGCTTGTGTATTAGACGTGTATTAAAATTGGTTATATTTTGCAAATTGCCTCCCATGAAACAAAATTTCATTTGAGCATCTGTCTCTTTAACGAGTGTCAACAATGATTACCGAACGTGATTGTCACATGATACATTAATCAAGTGCA